AATTTTGCTCGGGCACTGAGTGCCCGATGGACGGTTTTAGGGTTAAAATCCCAATGGGTAAATGTGTGCAGGATCAAGAATACATACGATGAATTCACAATCAATTCAATGTTCAAACATCAAGACAGCATTGCTGCAGAAGCGAGCACGTCAGCAAGCGATGAATATCAGATGTTCGGCTCAATTCATACTCCAAGGAACAACATCCAACATGAAATCAATGGCCCAGTCGAAATCAGCGACTCAAGCGACGAAGAGGACCATCACGTTAAATTGGAATCATCAGCCATTCAACTCTACGGTGTTGACATGCCAATTGAAGATCTCTCGAAAGGCAAAGATGAGGTTTGGGTCAACACAGAAACCGGATACGTAACGAAAGCGGAAGAAATTCAGGAAGATGGCATTCCATTGACTGTCGATGATGTGGATACAATTGACGAAGATACAACCACTGTTACTTTGAACAATGGACGCAACAAATCTAGTTCTCTAGCGAAATTGAAATCAACGTCAAACCAGTTCAAGATGAAGAAGCGACACATGTGCAAACTTTGTGAATATTCCAGCAATTATACGTCCCACCTCAATCGTCACATGTGTATTCACACCGGCGAGAAACCATTTCGCTGTGATATTTGCCGTATAGAATTCACAACAATGCAGAACCTGAAGAAACACAAAATTACTCATACTGAACAAATTCCATTCCATTGCTGAGGCTGTTTCAGTGGATTTTCGCACAAGGTCGAAAGAGACTCACACGAAAAAGTGTGCAACTTGCGTCGATATGAATGCCATCTTTGCAAGAAGATTGTCACTGAGAATAAAAATCAATTGAAAATTCATATCAGAACGCATAACGGCGAAAAACCGTTTCGATGCGAGATTTGTATGAAGGGTTTTACATCGAAAGCTTATCTGAAGAGACATTTGGACAGAATCCACACCAGAATCAATTTCTAAAAATTCCAGCTTCAAAATACCAGCAAGATTGACCGCATTAACAATCAATTTCCTTAAATTATTATAATTTATATAAAAGTGCGCTACTTTTTTTATTTTCAATACCGCACTTTATCACAAATTTTGCAAACTGTTTAAATCCAAAAACATCCCAATAAATTGAAAATTATCTCTTTTTTGTTCAAAGAAAAAAAAAATTCAAACAATTGTTAGAAAGAAATTATATTTTCAAAGCTTCCATGCAATTGTAACTTAATTCGATCGAAAATCAAAACTTTCGGGTTTGTCGCCTGCTGTCGCCAGACTTGATTTCGCTGTGTATGGAATCAGAATGCAGCAAATTCATTTTGACAGCTTGTTGCTGCGGCCGTTTGTTATGATTCACATTAAATTCATTATTCTGTTCTACTAGTTGTACAACACGTGTTCAACGCGCTTCAATCTGAAACTAAAGAAATAAACGAATATTTTCATCGATATAATACTTTGTTGTCTGGAATTCAATTCAAACACTCTCCCATTCACATAACAGATATTTCATTTTGTCGGAAATTTCTTATCATACCGTGAACAAGGTAAGAACAATATATTTATCTCCATCCATCTTGACGTAAGGAGGTTCGAAATTGAGTTTTACGAGCACAAGAAGAAAAATTCATAGATTGACATTGAAATGGTTTATTGAGTCTAGTTATTTTTGGTGCCAAAAAGGGTATATTATATTTAGAGCCTTCTGTGTGATGGACATTAGGCGTAACAAACACAAAAATGTATTTACAACTAGCTCTGATTTTGAAACCGAAAATTCAAGACAAATTATTTTTCCTTTAAAACAAAATTAAACATGGGCTCAAACTGATCTGTTGCTTCTTGAAAATTTTTAAATTGCGTTTTGAATCACTGCTTCGTGTAAGCATATGATTAATAGCAATTATAGCAGCAACTGACCATTTAGCTTGTCTGTCTATCAATTTAATTTCAATTCGGTCTATTCCAAAGTAGTTAAGAAACCAAAAATGTTGGGCTGGAATGACGAGATGAACCAAATGCTTGCTGCTTTCGATCGTCAAGCAAAATGTTCTCTGGCCAATATCAAAAAGGCACTCAAGCGCGAAGGTCTATCGCTAAATTCTGATTTCAAGCAATATTTTTTGCGCGTTTCAAATGAACGGTGAGTAAAGATATTAACAATCATCAATCAATAATTCATTATTCTTAATTTTGTGCAGGATCAAGTACACATACGATGAATTCGAAATTAGTTCAATGTTCGAAGATCAAATCGAAGTTGGTGCGTATGGAAATACGTCAACAACCGATATATTCTCGATGAACTCAATTTACACAAACAATCATAGCTTCATTGGCATTCGAAATCTACTGGACGATCCGGTTGAAATAATCGAATCAAGCGACGAAGAAGACCAACCAGGATATCGGATTAAAATGGAAACACCATTTGGCACTCAGTATAATAGTCATGGTGAAACATTTCAGTTGAATGATTTGTTTAAAAATGACGACGATGGAAGCTATGCTGATGAACTATCAAATACGAACTTGATTGGCATTGATTTTCAAGATGTTTCGAAGAGCTATGGTCATGACAGTAGCAAGAAGAAAGCTGCTAGCACAATGAAAGTAGATGACGTTATACCGTTGATTGCAGTTAATGATCGTAAAATGGGCTCAAAAAATAAACGTACATCCATTGTCACATCGAGCAATGGATCGAAAATTGTTGGTGGTGCCCACCTTAACCGAACGGAATTGGGTTTGATTCCACAATCGATAAGGAATAAAAAATCGATTTCGTTGAATCGGATGCAAATGAAAAAGCGATTCAAATGCCGATTTTGTGAATACTCCAGCAATTACACGTCCCACCTCAATCGTCACATTCGTTCTCATACAGGCGAGAAGCCACATCGGTGTGATATTTGCCGCAAAGAATTCACAACAATGCAAAATATGAAAAAGCACAAAGTGACTCACACCGAACAAATTCCGTTCCATTGCCGCGGCTGTTTCACTGGATTTTCCCAGAAGTCCGATCAAGCAGCACATGAAAAAGTGTGCAAATCACGTCGATATGAATGCCATATTTGCAAGAAGATTGTCAATGTAAATAAAGCTCAGTTGAAAAGGCATATGCGAAAGCACAACGGTGAAAAACCGTTTCGATGCGAGATTTGTATGAAGTGCTTTAAGCTAAGAGAGCATCTGAAGATACATTTAGACAACATCCACTCCAGAATCAACCCATGAATTCAATCACTCAATATAATCCTCCTTCATGAATCAAAATTAACTGTCATTCAACTTCAATAATCGCCGATATAAATCAGGCGTAAACCAGATAAATTTAACGTTGAAATGTGACAACGTCAAATTACTAATCTTTTGTTTTACATTTAGTTGACCTTACGTTCCAAACCTTGTGTAAAGTAATAAAAAATTCCAATTGAAATCAAAAAAAAATAATTAAAAACAACCTTCTCTTGCTTACAAAAATTCCCGTAAGTGAGAGCAATATATGGGATGTGACGTGCTATTTTTACTCTAAGCCTTTCAAATTATATCCATCCAATTGTAACTTAATTCGCCCAACAATCAAACTCTTTTAGTCTCTCGCCGTAACTGATTTCGCTGTATCCAGAATGCAGTGAATTCATCATCCCCCCGACATGAAAAAAGTGACATGGTGGCGCCATGTACCTGTAATATAGTGGTGAAAGAACAAACTTTGCATGTGCGACAACACAACGTATTTGCGACCACACTGTGATAGACGATTTGTTTTTTCTTCTACTTTTTTTTAAACGAAATAAATTTTAAATACAAAAATGATGAAATCGCAAAGAATCTTTCTAATTGTAAACATTTTATTTTTGAAAATAGTTAAATTTTATGATCACTCTTTGCGACCACGCACATTTTGCATTTGCGACCACAAATTATTTCATCCAAGTTGATAACAACTAACATCAATAATGTGGTCGTACATGCTCTTACATGAAAATTTGTTCTTTCACCACCATGTTGTACATGGCGCCACCATGTCACTTTTTGCAATACACTGTCATGTCGCAGGGATGGAATTCATTTTGACAGCTTCTTATGGATGGCATTAAATAGCGTCATTCTTTCTTTTGTTGCATAACGCGTGCTTAACTCGTTTCTAATCGGAAAGAATAAAACTAACAAAATAAACTCATATTTTTATCGAAATACCGCACGTTGTTGTTCCGAATTCATTTCAAATATTCCACTATTCGCTTAAGAGCATTTTATTTTTTGGAAATTATTCATCAAAAACGTAAGCAAGGTATAAACAACCTGTTGCTTGACAATTGTCAATTAGCTCGAATCTTATAAGAATAGATAATTCTCTTCATAATTGCTAGACTAAGTCATAGATTTCATATGAATTCGATCTATTTCCAAAGTAGTTAAGACTCGGAAAATGTTGAGCTGGAGTGACGAAATGGACAATATGCTTGGCGTGCTTAATCGCCACGTAAAAACTTCATTGAAAAATATAAAAATCGCATTCCAACGCGATGGTTTTTCGTTCAATGCTGAATTCAAGCAATATTTCTTACGGTCTGCGAACAAACAGTTAGTATATTAGTCTTTTATTTCATTGGTTTATCTTTTTTGATCAAATAATGTCATTCAATCGCAGAATTGAGGAAACATACGACCGGTTCGAAACTGATTCAATGTTGAAGGATCAAATCTACTTTGGTGCATCCGACAACCCGCCAACAATTGATATATTCCCGATGATCAACTCAATTTATACCAAAAATCATTACTTCAACGGCATTCGAACAGCAATGAATGGTCCAATTGAAGTCATCGACTCAAGCGATGAAGAAGATCAACCAGGAAATCGGTTTAAATTGGAGTCATCGGAAACGTCATCTACAATTCAATACGGTGATCAAGACATACCACCTGAACTACACGATGATGGTAGCCACATGACGGACACTGGGGAAACTGAAAACGAAACGAAAGTGGCTGAAATGGTAGAGACCGATGGACACCGCGGAATGGACCCAACATATGATCCATATGCTTTGAACAATAAACAAAACGTTGTTGGCGGCACCAAAAGTAACAATATTGGTGGATCCAGTGGAAAATGGGCTGAATCGCGTTCGACTCGAAAAGTTTTGGAAACAAAACAGCTGAAGATCCAGAAGCGATTCAAATGCGAACTTTGTGATTATTCTGGTGATACCAAATGGTTAATTAATCGCCACATGCGCACACACACCGGCGAGAAGCCTTTTCTATGTGACATTTGCCGCAAAGGATTCAATCAACTAGTTCACATGAAAAAGCACAAAGTGACTCACACCGAACAAGTTCCCTTCCATTGCCGTGGCTGTTTCACTGGATTTTCCCAGAAGTCCGATCAAGCAGCACATGAAAAAGTGTGCAAATCACGTCGATATGAATGCCATTTCTGCAAGAAGTTTATCACTGTGAATAAAAATCAATTGAAGGACCATATGCGAAAGCACAACGGCAAAAACCCGTTTCGATGCGAGATTTGTATGAAGGGTTTTACACTGAAAGGAAGTTTGAAGGCTCATTTGAATAACATCCATGCTAGAATCGACCCATAGCTTTAGTCATTCTATACAATCTCTTTCATGTTTCCAAACAAACCCAATCCAATCAAATTTCACGAAAAAAACAACCGAATTCTAGATGAATCATAAAAGCATTGAATTCCTCCAATAATGAATATCTCCAAAAAAGTCATCCGTACAAACAATAATTAAATAAATAAATCATATTTTCAAATCCATTCAATTCTAGTTTTGTTTGCTCTACAGTAAAATGCCCAATGTTTCATATATGGATAGTAGATATATCTATCCATCCATTTATGAAATACTGAAAATTCCAATTCGATCTCTCGCCACAATTATTTTTTCTGTGTGGCTAGAAAACCAGCGAATTCATTTTGACAGCTTCTTTCTGGCGCCATTTATCGTTTATTTCACTTGTTGCACAAAACGTATTCAACACGTTTTAAACTAACTGTATCAATAAACTAATCATATTTTCATCAAATTTGTTGTGTCGAATTCAAATTGTTTGAAATTATTCATCCAAACGTGATCAAGGTTTGAACAATATTTTTTTGAATATTATTTATTCAGCCTAGAACAAGAATACATGATTTCCTTCATTACCAAACTCACTAATAAATTTTATTTCAATTTGATCTATTCCAATGTAGTTAAAAATCCAAAAATGTTGAACTGGAATGACGAGATGAACCAAATGCTTGCTGCATTCGATCGCCAAGCCAAATGTTCTCTGGCCAATATCAAAAAGGCACTCAAGCGCGAAGGTCAAACGCTCAATGCTAATTTCAAGCAATATTTTTTGCGCGTTTCAAATGAACGGTAAGTAAAGATATCAACAATTATCAATTGATTATACAATGTTGTTAACTTTGTGCAGGATCAGGAACTCATACGATGAATTCGAAATTGGTTCAATGTTCGAAGATCAAAACAATGTTAGTGCGTATGGTATCACGTCGACGACTGATATATTCCCGATGATGAACTCAATTTACACCAGAAATCACGACTTCAACGGCATTCGAAACCAAATGGATGATCTGGGTAAAATCATCGATTTAAGTGACGATGAAGATCAATCAGGAAATCGGAATAAAATGGAATCAACAGAAGCATCATTTGGTATTCAGTATGATAGTCATGGTGAAACATTTCAGTTGAATGATTTGTTTGAAAATGATGACGATGGAAGCTATGCTGACGAAATGCCAGAAACAAACTTGATTGGCATTGATTATAACGAAGATGTTTCGAAGAGCGAAGGTCAAGATCGGGTCCAAAGGATAGCTGCTAGCACAGTGAAAGTAGATGACAACATACCATTGATTGCAGTCAGTGATCGTAAAATGGACTCAAAAAATAAACGTACATCTACTGTCACATCGAGTGAGGGATCGAAATTCGTTGATGGTGCCAAAATTAACAACACGACAGGAAGATCAAATGGATGTCCAAAAGAATCGGCTGAATTGGATTTGAATCCGCAATCAATAAAGAATAAAAAATCAATTTGGTCGAATCGGATGCAGGTGAAAAAACGATTGAAATGCCGACTTTGTGAATATTCCAGCAATCTAATGGGGAACATTAATCGCCACATGCGTATTCATACAGGCGATAGACCATATCAATGTGACATTTGCGACAAAGGCTTCACACAGTTGCACAACATGAAAAAGCACAAAGTGACGCACACTGATGAAATCCCGTTCTATTGCCGAGGCTGTTTCAATGGATTTTCTCGAAGAGCCGACCGAGAAACACATGAGAAGGTGTGCAAATATCGTCGATATGAATGCCATATTTGCAAGAAGTTCGTCAATGTTGGTAAAATTAATTTGAAATGGCATATGCGAAAGCACAGCGATGAAAAATCGTTCTGATGTTCGAGATTTGTATGAAAGGTTTTAAGGAAAAAGGAAAGCTGAAGCATTTTTTATCTGAAGTATCCACACCAGAATTCATTCATAAATAAATCAATACACATTATTCAACGAAAAGTAAATTTTCTAATGTTAAATAACTCATATCTTCAATAAATATGATTGAAATTAAGAAATTGGAAAGTGTTTTAAACATTTTATTCATGTCACCGAAAATTTTATTTTTATGCGGAATTTCCAGTACAAAAATTATTGAAACTTAAACAAGAATAATGGAATAATATTATTAAATGATGAAAAGATGTTTTTCTTTTTGAAATAAACGTTTCGGCGAAAAATATTAAATGCAGCAAATTGAATTCGTCGCAAGACAAGATTGAGAATATGGTGAAAGTCCATTTTGACAGCCCATGTTCATATACTTTATATTGAATCGTGATCACATATCGCACATTTTTAACTTTAGTTTCTGAATCTTATACGATATTAATCAAAACCCAAATAATTGAAAATCTCAATAGATCACGAAAATAGCGTTTGATTTCAACATTCCCAGAAAGAGTTTTGCTTCAGAATAAAATAACCAGAAGAAAATTCATAATTGTCGTTGATTTCCGCGAGTAAGATCGAAGTAAAAGGTAAGAATTGCTCTATAAATTACACTGTTGAGTGGTGGCTGTATGAAAATCATTCAAATAGCAAGGTTGTAAAAACATCAGTTGGATGATATAAAAAAATTTGATCAGAAAAAGGACATAAACTCACGGTAATGTGTCTTGAATTTTCTATATTTCATAGATGAATGCATCAACAATGGACTGGCGAATGGAGATGAATAATATGCTGGCCAAATTCGATCAGCAGGTAACAATTTCCCTGGGCATCATCGAAATGTCATTCAGACATGGTGGCCTCTCATTCAATGACGAATTCCAGCAGTATTTTTTGCAAGCTTCCAATGCCCGGTTTGTAACTCAGTCCCTTCCATTTGATTGCTTTTATTAATCAAACCATTTCAATTATTCACAGAATCAAGGAAACTTATGATCAATTTAAAGTCAATTTATTGCTGAAGAACCAAGTACCAATTTATGCTCCCAATTATTCCACGGACAATTTCCAACGGGATATCAATGACCCTGTCGAAATAATCGACTCAAGCGATGAAGAGGACCAAGCAGACAATCATGTTAAAATGAAATTAATGGAAGCGCCATCTTCCGTTCGGTACGATGGTTATGACGTACCACCCGAATCGAACGGGGGTGGTCAAACCGACAATGAAGGAAGCTACACCGATGAAATGCCAAAGCTGAACTTAAACGGAATCGATAATGTCGTGAAAATGAACGATGACATGCCGTTGATTGTCGGTACGCATCGCGAAATAGAAACAAATGCACGCACATCAGCTATCAAATTGAGCAATGGAACGAAAGTCGTTGGTGTTGCCAACATGACAGGTAGATCAATGAAGAATGCAAAAAAACGGGCTGCACCAGGTTCGATTGCAAAATCAATTTCTTCAAAGCAGTTGGGAGGGAAGAAGGGATTCAAGTGCCAACTGTGTGAATATTCCAGCAACAAAACGTCCAACCTCAATCAGCACATGCGTACTCACACCGGCGAGAAGCCTTTTCGATGTGATATTTGCCGCAAAGGATTCACAACTCTGCAAAGTATGAAAAAGCACAAAGTGACTCACAATGCTGAAATTCCATTCCATTGCCACGGCTGTTTCACTGGATTCTCCCAGAAGTCCGATCAAGCAGCACATGAAAAAGTGTGCAAATTGCGTCGATATGAATGTCATATCTGCAAGAAGTATATCACTGTTGTTAAAGCTCAATTGAATTCACATATGCGGAAGCACAACGGTGAAAAACCGTTTCGATGCGAGATTTGTATGATGCGTTTCACAATCAAAGGAAATCTGAAGAAGCATTTGGATGCCATCCATACCAGAATCAATCCTTGAACGAAAAATCTCTGCCATCTTTGAACTACCAACAAGATTGGCCGCATTAACATTCAATTCTCTTAAATTAATAAAGTACGCTAATTTTTTTTCATTTCAAATACTACTTTAATACAAACTGTTTAAAACCACAAACATCCCAATAAAGGTGCATTTTTCAAGGCGACGATTGCAATCGTCCACGATTTTTTTTTTTTTTCAAATCGGGCGTCAAAAAACCACAAATAATAAATCGTTCACGATTTTGGTGTCAAAAAAACCATTGATCTCAATCGTTAACGATTTTGGCCAACGATTTGAAATCGTACACGATTGTAATCGCCGCCTTGGAAAATGGACCTTAAATTAAAAATTATCTCTTTTTTGTTCTTATTATAAAAGGTCGCCACGATATGTCTTAAATAAAATATTCAACTTTAATATAAGAGGACATTCATTTATTTTAGTCGTTAATCGTATGAATTTTGAATAAATACAGAAATAAATTATATTTTCAAAGCTTCCATGCAATTGTAACTTAATTCGCTCGAAAATCAAAACTTTCGGTTTGTCGCCTGTTGTCGCCAGACTTGATTTCGCTGTGTCTGGATGCAGCAAATTCATTTTGACAGCTTGTTGCTGCTGCCATTTGTTATGGTTCACATTAAATTCATTATTCTGTTCTACTAGTTGTACAACACGTGGTCAACACGCTTCAATCTGAAAGTAAAGAAATAAACGAATATATTCATCGATATAATTCTTTGTTGTCGGGAATTCAATTCAAACATTCCCCCATTCACATAACAGATATTTCATTTTGTCGGAAATTACTTATCAAACTGTGAGCAAGGTAAGAACAATATATTTATCTCCATCCATCTTGACGTAAGGAGGTTCGAAATTGAAACCAGCTCTGAATATAAAACTTTGAAAATTCAAGAAAAATTATTTTTCCTTTAAAATAAATAAGATTAAACACGGACCCAAACTAACTGATCTGTTGCTTCTGTTGATTTTGCATATTGATTCACTGCTTCGTGTAAGCATATACCAGATGAATAGCACCAACTGACCATTTTAGCTTGTCTGGCCAAAATACCTGATTCTCTTCATTATTGTTAAACGTAAAAACTAATTTTATTTTGATTCGGTCTATTCCAATTTAGTTAACAATCCAAAAATGTTGAGCTGGAAAGACGAGATGTACAAAATGCTTGCTGCATTCGATCGCCAAGCAAAATTTTCTTTGAGAAATCTTAAAAAAGCGTTCAAATGCAGTGGACTGTCGCTCAATGCTGATTTCAAGGAATACTTTTTGCGCGTTTCAAATGAACGGTGAGCAAATATATTAACAATCATCAATCAATAATTCATATGTTTTAATTTTATGCAGTATCAAGAGCGCATATGATGAATTCGAAATAGATTCAATGTTCGAGGACCAAGTCAATGTTAGTGCGTATGGAAGTACGGCAATAACTGATATATTCCCGATCATGAACTCAATTTACACCAGAAATCATGACTTCAACGGCATTCGAACTCAAATGGATGATCCGGTTGAAATAATCGAATCAAGCGACGAAGAAAATCAACCAGGATATCGGGTCAAAATGGAAACACCATTTAGCTCTCAATATAATAGTCATGGTGAAATATTTCAGTTAAATGATTTGTTTAAAAATGACGACGATAGAAGCTATGCTGACGAAATGCCAGAAACAAACTTGATTGGCATTGATTTTCAAGATGTTTCGAAAAGCTATGGTCATGACAGTAGCAAGAAGAAAGCTGCTAGAACAGTGAAAGTAGATGACAACATACCGTTGACTGCAGTCAATGATCGCGAAACGGACTCAAAAAATAATCGTACATCTACTATCACATGCAATGGACCGAAAGTCGTTGATGGTGCCAAGGGTGCCAATATGACAGGCAGTTCAACGAAGACTGCAAGAAAACGGGCTGCGTCAGGTTGGATTACAAAATCATCATCAAATGAAAAATGGATTTCTCCAAAGCACTTGGAAGGGAAGAAGCGATTCAAGTGCCAGTTGTGTGAATATTCCAGCAATCAAAATGGAAACTTAAAAATCCACATGCGTACTCATACAGGCAAGAAACCGTATCAATGTGATATTTGCCACAAAGAATTCATAACGATGCATAACATGAAAAGGCACAAAATGACACACACCAAACAAGTTCCATTCCATTGTCGAGGCTGTTTCAGTGGATTTTCGCAAAAGGTCGAAAGAGATTCCCACGAAAAAGTGTGCAAAATACGTCGATATGAATGTCATATTTGCAAGAAGTTTGTTACTTATGGTAAAAGCAATTTGAAATTACATATGCGAAGGCATAACAGTGAGAGGCCGTTCTAATGTGAAATTTGCATGTTGCATTTTTCACGCAAAGATAATCTTAACACACATTTGAAAACCATCCACACCAGAATCAACCTTTAAAGATCCCCACGTGCGCATGTATGAATATACGAGCAAAGAAACAAACAAAAAATTGTATTAATACAATACAGTAGACTTAATTAAATAATCTAAACGTTGGAAAACATCATTGACATTCATTTATGCCATTTGTAAATCGATCCTTCCATTGTTTAAGTTAGAATACCTAATAAATTCTAAATAATCTCTATTTTTCTTATTACTAGACACATTTTCTATTTGGACACATGCTCGTGTCATAAAGTGTATTAAAATGTAAAAAAAATCAATTTTGTACAATTTATTGCATGGGGCGGAAATGAATGAGACGAAATTTTCTCTCTCATGGGCGCAGCCATATTGAAAATTTTGTATGCGCTTATATGTAAAATTTGTGGCGCCACTGGTATATTTGATGGAAAAAGAAGAACATGTTTGAGTCTCACTCGTTTATATGTAAATTACATAGGCATTTCCAGGCCATGATTTATTGGGTAAGGAAATTCATTTATAACAATAGTTAAGAAATAAAATATTTTCCAATCCAATCAATTTTGCTTGAATTCGCTTCGAATTCAAAATCCATCTGCATC